GATTGATGGAGAAAAATATAGAGAGTAAAGAGGAACTGCATATAATATTTATTGATTTAGAAAAAAACATATAACAAAATTTCAAGATAAGTGTTTTGGAGAGTTCTAGAAAGGAAGTGAGTTAATAATGCTTATATTAAAGTTATTTAAGGATATGTATATGGAAGTTGTACTTTTGTTCAAATGCAATGTGGTTTGACCAATTATTTTCCTATTTCAATTGGATTGCGTCAAGGATCACCTTTCAGCTCTTATCTTTTACTAGACATTTGCAAAAGGATGTACCATGGTGTATGATTTTCATTGATGAGATTCTTCTTGTTGATAAGATTAGAGAGGGTGTTGAAGGATAACTTGAATTATGAAGGCCAACCTTAGAGTCTAAAGGTTTCATTTGAGTGGATCTAAAACTGAATACATAGAGTGTTATTTTAGTAGTAATAAATCTAATAGTGGAATTTTAACATTGGGTGATCAGGTCATTAAAAAAAGTGTACATTTTAGATATATTGAGTCTATTGTTCAAAGTGATGGTAAAATAGATAGAGATATTATTAGCATAATTCAAGTTGGATGGTTGAAGTGGAGGAATCCATATAGCTTGTTGTGTGATAGGAAACTTCTCCTCAAATATAAGTGAAAATTTTATAAGATGGTGGTGAGACCTGCAATGCTTTATGGCTTAGAATGTTGGCTATAAAATTAAGTTAAGTGTTGCAGAGATGAGGATGCTTAGGTGGATGAGTGGTTTCACACTTAGAGACAAAATGCGAAACGAGTAGATACGTAAAAAGGTTGGAGTAGCTCCAATGCTATGTTGCACCGATACGGATACGGCGACACGGATACGACACGATACGGATACGGGACACGTCAATTCTTAAAAAAATAGGATACGGGTATTGCGCGGACACGGCATTATAGTTTATAAATCATACATAAAAATTAAGAAAACAATCAAAGCATAATATTTTAAATTACAAAAAAAATGACAACCTAATTTGTAGCCTTTGCTTTATCATATTAAAATATAAGTAAGTATTAAATGTCTAGTACAACAACAAAAACATAAACAAAAACAGAAATTGTCTAGCACATGAAGTTTCAACTATTCAATAGAAGGAATGATATGATTAGCTTCTTCAGTGGTTTGTCTTTGAACTTCTATATCATCTTCAATACATATCATAGCTTCTAATTCAGGCTCATCAAGTGAAAGATTAGTAATTTCTAATATTCTCATATCATCAAGAGACTCAAATCCATCTTGAAAATGAGAGAACCTTGCTCGCAGCCGCGGCAGTAAATACAACGCATCTTTTTTTTTTTGGATTTATTTTTGTTTTTCAACGGACACTCGTATCGGATACGCGTGTCCTTTTGAAATTAAATAGTATTTTAATTGGATACGGCTTTGGCGTATCCGACACGTATCGGTGGCGTATCGGAGGCGTATCCGTGTATCGGTGTATCGGATATAGCACGCCTTCATAAATAGGAGTATCGGTGCAACATAGCTCCAATGGTAGATAAGATTAGAGAGAGAGTCACATTATATGATATGATTACATAAAACGTCGGCCTTCTGATGACCTGGTTAGGAGAGTAGATGTATTTGATCCGGCCTATGTTAAAAAGATATAGGTAGACCTAAAAAGATTTTTGTTAAAAAGTATTAGAAATGATATATTTTTTATTAGATTAAATGATAATTTAACTCTTAATGGGATAGAATAGAGAAAAAAAATTCATGTAGCCGACCCTACGTAATGCGATGAAGCCATGAAGGCTTAATGTTGTTGTTGTTGTATCATATATGGTAATTAATGGATTTGCAAATAACTTTTGGTGACCTGTACAATTTTCTAGCGAACTGGTTGGTTTTTTTTTTAATTACATATATTGCAATGTTTCGTTTTTCTTTAATTTTTACAAGAGACTTGCTTGAAGAATAGTTTAAATATTTTCAGTACAATCATATGAAATAAATGTTTGGTCATTTTTTGTTTTAATTATCAACATGCTAAAAACGTGTCTGTCCTCGAATTTTTATGTTCTCATAACCATACTATGGTGTTTTTTAGTATCATGCTTTGTATTGTCTCCATCCTCTATGTTTAGCCCTGCGGTAGATGACATATCCTTGAAATGTAGTCTTGCTACTTTTCCAAGATTTTTCATATTTGGATGTTTTCACTTGTAGTTGTATACGAGAAGAGGCCTTATTTGAAAGTTCCTCGTAACGTTAGGTTCTTCACTGGTGAAGAGTTTCCTAAATCGCCATTTTGGAAACAATGAAAAATTTTTGTTCATGTAGAATGTTCAACTATTTTATTTAATAGTTAATTACATACAATAAATGTCTTTAATTTTTAATTTAAATTTAAATTATTATTATTTTAATTTAAATTTATTTGCTCAAATTTCAGTCACTTTAAACTTGAATTGGGATCTTGACTGTAGGATTAACAATTTAACCTTTTTTCTTTGCCCTCCTTTGCATTGTAGGGTATTGACCCTGCTTTATTATTCATTTAGTATAGCTATGATGTGTTATTGCTCGTACGGAGAATGTATATGCAAGTTGGGGATTTTTGCATATTTTTGACATAAACCAATTTTTGTTTTTGTATTCAAAACAACATAATAGCTATACCAAATATGCTATGACACCTAAGATATAGCTAAAAAATCAGCTCCTTAATAAGTTTTTGATCGATTTATGTTATTTTCATGGAAACAGAAATCCCGAGCTTTTTCTTATTACAATGAATTTAATTGCATATTTGTAATGTACTACTCGAGTGATTACTTTGCCACATTTTGAAGTTCTTTTTCATATTTTCTTTACTGCTTAAGATGTCCTCAAAATGGTTGAGAATAATTCATTTGCCTCTGGTAAAGCTTCCTTTTACCTTTGATATTTAATTTATCTTTTTTTTAATCATCGCTTACAACCATTTCTATTTTTTTTTATTGAGAATTAAGTTTTCAAATCACTTCTCAAAATGTTTTAGGCTGTGTTTGGATGCTGGGAGTATGTGTGAAAGGAGATGGAAGAAGTGTAGAAAAAATAAAATCAATGACTACAAATTCATAATTAACTTACATATTGTTTGAATTTCATTTTATTTCCTTACCTTTCCTTCAATCCAAAAAAGGTACAGTGCAACACTTTCTTTAAAAATTCATCTTCTTATGGTCTGTTATTTTAATGATCTTTGCAAATGAAGAACTACTACATGAAAGATGAAGTACTAGTTGATTGTTTGGCTTGGGAGATATTTTGAAAATTTGGAAAATTTGCCTTACAGGTAATGCTAGTGGTCTTCCAGCCTTGCTGCCCGAACAAGTTTGCAAGTTGAAGCAACTTAGTGTGTTGGCATTGGCCGAGAATAATAAGGTAGTCTTGTATTTCTTAATGCTGTTATGAGGTCCTAGATTTTCATACTTTTGACATATGTGCCAAAATATAACCATACAGGGTGATTAGTTGTAAATCTTGATAAGACGTACTTTAGTGATAAGATTTTCTTTTGTTTTATTAATAGATGCTATTTATTGATGTTAACCATCCCTTTGGAAGTGGTTCAGTCTGACTTTAGAATCAAGGCAACACAATCGTAGGTTACTAAAGATGTCAAGAAATATTAGGCGTATGGTGCAGTTACATGATTCTACATTTTATTTGCTCTTTTTTCTAGATTATTTTCGTCCTAGTCATTTACTTTTCCCTTTAGAAGTTTGAGTGCTTTGCAAAATTTTTTTGGTCATAATCATTTCAGTGCCAGTTTTTCTAAATTTTATGTTTTTTATCACTTCATGACTGACAAAAACCAAACTGTCATTCACACGAAACTAGCATTCACCATCACGGTATATTCACTTATTTTTAATGTGCTGTTTTTTTTGGGTATCACTTTTCTTAGGAATAGTAAGTGATAAATCACAAAATTAGTGGCTCAAACCCGAACCTGGAGAAGCAATCTTCTCCAACCATTGTGCCTATCAGTTTGATTGTTCAGTTCTTCTGCAAACTGAAACGTTAACTTGGCTTATAGGACTTCATAACCAATATTTATGTAAATAAAGCCTTGAAGGAAAAAAAAGGAACGATATGATTTCTCGTAGTCCTAAATGGTTGAAACTTATGCTGTTATGAAATTTGGTGATTTTGGATCAGACCACCAGCTTAAAAAAAAAGCACTTCTTCCTGATTCCTCTTCTCTCCTTGAAACCATTCAAATCTCCATCCTCCCCTTCTAGGTATACCCTCCATTTTTTTTAATGGTTCGACCCACTTCATCAACTGTGAATAGGTGAATGGCCAGCTAGGTGCACCATGAGGAAGGGAGATGGGTTGATGTGCTGAAGGTCAAGATAAGGAATTGATAATAGTAAGTGAAATCTTGAGAGGGAAAAGTTATAAGAAACTGAGCTGATTAAGGATATGATTGTCTTAAAAAGTTGCCGAGCACGATTCCTATTTTACTTAGCAAATTGACAATTTAAATGACTAAATAAACCTACCTTCTGAAAAAATCCCTACTACCAATGATAACGATGATTACAAAATTACAATTACCTACAATTGAGTTTGCAATGATCGACCAGAATGTATGCTCAAACTTAATATTCCAATGTAATATCCCTCTCAAGTTGCTGCTGGTTTTGATCTTGTAAGACCAATCTCTAAAGTTTTGGAGGATTGGGTTCTTGACTTTGGTTGGGAAACAATGCATCTCTTTGACTGTTGAAGTTGGCTGCATTTTGTGACTTTTTCTTGTCACACAAACTTGATTTAAGCTGATTTAATTAATCCAACAAGAATTGGGTCTAATTTGGTTGCTTTATACATTTTAAGGCAGCCATCTTATACTACAGGTAACTATTCGGTGGGGAAATTATATTGAACAAATGGCATTTTGAATAACAACATATTTGGTTGCATTTTGATTCAATATTGAACCTTCATTTGCTTTTTTGATGGAGATTTTCGACGTTGAAAATTTAAGTAATCATTGTCAACTTTCCAAATTTATGTTCTGTTGATAGATTAACAGGTACAGATTGCTTTCCAAGAAAGTTGGTAAACTGAAATTATACGTTAATATCATTTCAACATATAAATTATCATATCAACTATGATCAAGCTTTTCTTATGGTGCCAGACCAGTTTTACAAGGGCTGTTGAGGTGATGGGAACCGAAATTAATCTTTAGGAATTTTTGATATGAATCTTCATAATGAGTTAGAGATAGAGATAGAAACTTTTCAAATTCAATAATATTATGTTTATTCATTCATTATACCCCTATTATAGAATATATAGGGTTGACATGTTTGAAAACAAAATATAATAAAATCAAATCAAATAATTTGGCATATAATCAAATCTTGTTATTATTTTCCAATCAAACCTCCCACAATTCCCTCTCATCCAATTTAATTCTCCCCATTAAATTTGAATTTAAATTCAAATTCATCCCGCCAATTCCTCTTATTCTGAAATTTAATTTCAGATTTTCATTCTCTCCCCAAATTGATTTGGGATTTAATTAATCTTGCCACCTATGCAAGTAAATGGCATTTACGTTTTACATCATTATACCCCTATTTATAGAATATATAGGGTTTACATGTTTGAAAACAAAGTATAATAAAATCAAATCAAATAATTTGGCATATAATCAAATCTTGTTATTATTTTCCAATCAAATATTTGATTCCATCAAATATTATTAAATCTAATTATATGAAAACTAAATAAAATCTAATCATATCATCATCAAACCAAATAATATTTGGTTAATTGAAATTTAATTTATTTTTTAATTATTTAATTACGCCTAAAGTGTGATATTCTAATGTAGAAGAATCGACTATTGTAATGATCTTGCATAAGGAGGCTCCTTTTTGAAATACTACATGCAGAAATAATGACGTGAATCGTATGATTAGTCTTGCATGTAATGCTTGATGGTTAAGCACATCAAGTTGAATCGTGTTGGTAAAATCACATTTTGAAGCTCTTCCATTTGAAACCCTTGCACAATATACACAATAAAATATTAATAATCACACAAATGCAACCACATTTATGTGTATGCATACAATATAAGTAATGCTAAGTTGCTAACTAGTTAGCGATCAAGCATTATTCACAATAATGTAGATTCCAATCAACTAAACGTAGCACATAAACTTGTAAGGATAAGATGAAACCTACAAGTGTAATGAAACACTAGTGTCCACACAAAGCTATATAATGGTGATGCTGGAGATATGATTCTATGACCCAACAATATAACTTTAGAGCACAAGTAAAAAAGATCTATTCAACCATGATAATATATATAAGCATTTAACAGAGGCCATCACATAAATATGAAAATGTGCAAGTAAATCTAGCCATTGTGCAATGGGCACAATGATATTTGTGTGATTCAACACCAACTTGGCCTACCACTAACACTCTTTTGGTTTATAATAATTATAATGAAGATAAATATTTAGCAAATACGTTATTAAGAAAAGCAAAAGAGCTGCAACTTTTGCTAATTTATATGAGACACTAGATATTAACTTAGAAGAAAATGAGATGTACAAAATAAATAAGGCATTCTGTAAGATATATAGAGTAATGTGATATAATGTTAATTTTATGTGCATGTGAAATGTCATGACACCTTAAAATTTCCTTCGTGAATTAAATTACAATGACATTAAAATAAGACAACAAAACCAACACATATAATTGTCTCGACACATCAACAAACATATAATGGTAAAAAAAAAAAAAACTATCAAAGTGACACAAAGGGCTATTAAATTATAGTTGACATTCTCTTGATATTATCATGTGTAAGAGGCTATCTATCCAGTCATTATAGTAAAATTGAATATTCTTTAAGATTTACCAACTTTAGGATGACACTTCCGTTTGCATTAATTCTCATCCACTTGAGAACTTTTCCCTATAGAGTTGATCTTTGTTGCTGGTAAAAATTGTGGGAGGATCTTACCATGCACTTGGGGACTGAGTGTATTTGCAAATGATGCACATGGTGTTGCTTCACATGGTGGAGGAAGAGTGATTTTAAAGAAGATGATTTTGCTATGCATTTTTTTAGAATAATGGTTACTTATGCTATCTTATTTTTCACGTGTTTATATTCTTCTCTAATAATGGCCAAAAATTCCTTCATTTTGTTGTATCTTTCGTTGGAAAAAAAATAGAGATATAATTAGTAGAATTCAAGTTGGATGGTTTAAGCAGAGGAATGCATCGGGCCTGTTTTGTGATAGAAAAGAACCCCTCAAACTTAAGGTAAAATTCTATAAGATGGTGGTGAGACCTGCAATGCTTTGTGGTGCCGAATGTGGCCATTAGAAGAGAAGCATAAAATTAAGTTAAGTGTTGCAGAGATGAGGATGCTCAGGTGGAAGAGTGACTTTACTCTTAAAGACAATGTGAAACGGTGCGGGTGTCAATATTTGACCCGACCCGAAAATTCTACCGAAATTGACCTGAAAATTTCTGGTTCGGGTCAACCCGTTTGGCATATGGGTCTAGTTCGGGTTCCAAAATTCGACCAATTTGAAAAATTGGGTCGAGTCTGGGTCAAACCACTAAACCGAAGTTGACCTGGATCCGGGTTAGGATTTGCTTTTCCTTTTCTCCTGCCGTTCATACCCAATTTGCTAATTGACTTCGCCTGCTTTGCTCTCGTGACTCACGAGGTAAAGTTTTTATTTTGAACGCGTTGATCTCATAAAACTCTACCTCCTTCAACGACGTTCCTTCGTATCGGTCGGAAGTCACGACCTATGATGCACAGACACAGACACGACGACACGGATACAACACGACATGGACACGGGACACGTTAGTTATTAAAAATATAGGACACGAATATGGGTTGGCCACGGTATTATAATTTTTATATTTAAAAAATAGTATAAAAATTAAATAAGTATAATTTTAAAAATAAATTGAAAATAATAAGTCATTTAAGTAGAATTTGTGCTTAAAATAATTAGTATTAGGATATCGAGAGTCAGGCGTCAATGCTGTTTATTAGTCACTGAGAGAGGAGATGAAAATACCTTCACTGTCAAAAAGAAATGAAATCGAGAATATTCGATGATTGGGTATTAAGTGCGGACGTTGATTTGGTGTTGTGGATATGAAATAAGAAATTTAGTTTAAATCCCGCTCCCGCAAACTACAAGAAATTATATTTAAAAAATTCATTAAATATTTAAGATATGCATGTCGGACACGCGTGTTCAATTTGTATTTAATATTTTTTAATCGGACACGTTTTCGGCGTGTCCGACAAGTTGGAGTGTCAGACGAGTGTCGTGTCGGATACGGTGTCAGACATTGAACGCCTCTTT